TGACCCTAATCGTGCACAGTTTATTATCGTCCTGTTCTACATAATTTATCATTACTGGAATATCGCTGGTATCCTCCTGTGTAAAAACTGAGAGGAAGTATGTGTTAAAAATTCTACACATTTCCTTATCACTGTCAGTGAGCTGACCCGAGGAACTTTTGAGTGGGCCTATCTTGTCCCTGATCTTACTTCTGTATACCTGAAAGAATCCTTTTGGGTTAGTCTTCGATTCTCTTGCAACTTTAACCTCATAATCTCTCTCTGCTTTTCTAATTCCCTTTTTTATTTCTCTTTAACTGAATATATCGATTTCTTAATTGCCCCTCTCCTCTTTTGATTTGCCTATACTATATGCCTCTCTTTTGACCAATCAGATACTTTAATCTATTGTTCATCCATTTAGGATCATTTTTGTTTGATCTGATTTCCCTATTTGGAACATAATTTGACTGAGCAGCTAGAACTATGCCCTGGAAAGCATCATATCGGCAACCATCACCACCTACCTGACCCTTAGTCAGGTCATTCCAGTTCAGCCCACCTAAGTAATTTTTCAGTCCTATGAAATCAGCCAAGCGAAAGTCAGGGACGGAGACTTGATTGCCATTATTAGGGGAATTCCATGATATATTAAAACTGAGTGATTTGTGATCACTTTCCCAAGCTCATCATTAACCTCAAGATTATTAATTAGTGTTTCCCTACTGGCAAGAACCAAGTCAAGGAGGTTATTTCCTCTAGTTGCTCTGTCACAAACTGTTTTAAAAAAAACAATCCTGGGTCGTATCAAGAAAGTCACCTGACTCTAAATTTCCTGTCAAATTGCTCCAGTCAATCTGTCTATAGTTGAAATCTCCCATTAGCACAATATTTTCGTATGTAGATGCCTTACAAATTTCGTCCCATAGAAGTTTACTGCACTCCCTTTCAAAATTTGGGGCCCTGTAAATCACACCCAAAATTAGTTTTTCTCGGCCCTCGAGAAGCTGTAACCAAACAGATTCAGTGGCTGACGCTTCTGCTTTTATATCTTGTCTAACAAAAAAATTTAAATTGTCTCTGACATACATCGCTACTCCACCACCCTTCCTGTTGACCCTGTCAGTGTGGAATAATTTATAGCCTTGTATGTGACATTCAGAGGGCATCTCTCTCTTTCAGATTGAGCCAGGTCTCTGTTGTAGCAATAATATCCGTTTCCTGCACTTGCAATTAATCTTAGCTCATCTATCTTTTTTCTTACACTCCTGCTATTAGTATAGTAAACCTTAAGGGAGCTAGTCCCTTGCTGTCCTCTGCTGTCCCCCTTTGTTTGCTGACCTGATCTATTGTCTTTATTTATAACTTCATGCTGAATGCATTTTATACATTTACTGATTCCAACCCTAGTGTTGCAACCTGCTTGTTTCCCCCACACACCCATACCTCTATCTTCTATCAGTTTAAAATCATAGGCATTTCACCAATGGCCTTCTCAATTGAGTTTGCAAGTGCTACCACCCCAGCCCCAGAGAGATGTACCCCATCCCTTGCATACATATCATGTTTGCCATAAAAGTTGTTCCAGTTGTCAATGAATGGGATTACCAACACATCTCGCCATTATTGTCTGCAGTGTAATACTGAGGCCTGGTTGAGACTGAGGCCTGGTTGAGACTGAGGCCTGGTTGAGACTGAGGCCTGGTTGAGACTGAGGCCTGGTTGAGACTGAGGCCTGGTTGAGACTGAGGCCTGGTTGAGACTGAGGCCTGGTTGAGACTGAGGCCTGGTTGAGACTGAGGCCTGGTTGAGACTGAGGCCTGGTTGAGACTGAGGCCTGGTTGAGACTGAGGCCTGGTTGAGACTGAGGCCTGGTTGAGACTGAGGCCTGGTTGAGACTGAGGCCTGGTTGAGACTGAGGCCTGGTTGAGACTGAGGCCTGGTTGAGACTGAGGCCTGGTTGAGACTGAGGCCTGGTTGAGAACTGAGGGCCTGGTTGAGACTGAGGCCTGGTTGAGACTGAGGCCTGGTTGAGACTGAGGCCTGGTTGAGACTGAGGCCTGGTTGAGACTGAGGCCTGGTTGAGACTGAGGCCTGGTTGAGACTGAGGCCTGGTTGAGACTGAGGCCTGGTTGAGACTGAGGCCTGGTTGAGACTGAGGCCTGGTTGAGACTGAGGCCTGGTTGAGACTGAGGCCTGGTTGAGACTGAGGCCTGGTTGAGACTGAGGCCTGGTTGAGACTGAGGCATCTTTGAAACACGTAATAAACAAGGTATACACGCTCACACACACACACACACACACACACACACACACACACACATGTGCTGTATACACTGAGGTGTGTGTGTGTGTATATATATATAATATACATGCATGTGTAGTGTGACCTAAGTGTAAGTAGCAAGATGTACCTGAACTCTTACATATTTGAGACAGAAAAAGACACCAGCAATTCTGCCATCTTGTAAAACATTTACAGGCCAAGCCCATGATGACACTCTTCAGGTCACTTGTTCTATCTAGGCTGGAATATTGCTGCACTCTAACAGCACCTTTCAAGGCAGGTGAAATTGCCGACCTAGAAAATGTACAGAGAACTTTCACGGCGCGCATAACGGAGATAAAACACCTCAATTACTGGGAGCGCTTGAGGTTTCTAAACCTGTATTCCCTGGAACGCAGGAGGGAGAGATACATGATTATATACACCTGGAAAATCCTAGAGGGACTAGTACCGAACTTGCACACGAAAATCACTCACTACGAAAGCAAAAGACTTGGCAGACGATGCACCATCCCCCCAATGAAAAGCAGGGGTGTCACTAGCACGTTAAGAGACCATACAATAAGTGTCAGGGGCCCGAGACTGTTCAACTGCCTCCCAGCACACATAAGGGGGATTACCAACAGACCCCTGGCAGTCTTCAAGCTGGCACTGGACAAGCACCTAAAGTCAGTTCCTGATCAGCCGGGCTGTGGCTCGTACGTTGGTTTGCGTGCAGCCAGCAGCAACAGCCTGGTTGATCAGGCGCTGATCCACCAGGAGGCCTGGTCACAGACCGGGCCGCGGGGGCATTGACCCCCGAAACTCTCTCCAGGTCTCCAGTTTTACACTTAGCAGGACTGTAGTACCTCCCTGGGTGGTTGCTGTCTTACAACCTACTACCTATGTTTATTACATATTACCTACAGTAAAAAATCAATTATCATTGACAAAATAAACTAGGTAAATGAATTACATGAAAAAGAAATTAAGAGTACATGTATATTAAAATGAAATGTTGAATATAACTAACATTTGCATGAACATTAACTAGACAGGTAATTGCCTTCCTTTCTGTAGCTTCATTCATTAGGTACTCTTTAGCTCTTCTTAAATGATTTTATACCAAGACTCTGATATGATCAGGAAACATGTTACACTTATGTAATAGGTATTTGAGGCTGGGTGCCTACTGTGGGCAGTACAAAAGCATTTACACTTGCCCAGCACTACTGGCTTTGATTCCTAACCTTGACAAAATTTGCAACAAGATGTCATGGGCAATGGTTGATAGCAGTTCTGAATACATGGTCGAGTTTCAGCTGCTTTACTCTACCAATTGTTGCAGTTCATCCTGGCATGATGAATTGGACACACGTGCAACATCTGGGTATCTTTATTTTGTAGACGTTTTACCAACCAGTGGATTTATCAATACAATTCAAGGACATAAATAGAAGATTGTAGAAAAGGAGGCAATCAGTCCCTCAGCCAAACACAATTGCATATAGAAGACAGTACGTATAAGAAATAATCAATCCTTCAGCCTAGGAGCAGATGTTGATTAGCATAGTCAACAAGATTGTGGTCATAACAAATTGGCCAATTAAGAACTGAATGGCTTCAGTCTTTATTGGCTGATTTGTTTTGAAATGGATGAAACCTTTAGGGATTTAGGCTTTGTAGATACTAATTAATCTTCATAACTAGTTAATAACTTGAAATGTTAGATTGTGCAGTAGCTGAAGAATTAGGGAAAATTGAAATTACAGTAGGATCCCCGTATCCACAGAGGATGCTTTCGAAACTACCTACTGTGGTGGATACTGAAACTGAGGATAGTAGCAAACTATATGCATATGTACTATACATACATGTACTTGCTATAAAGAATTATTTTTTTTTTTTTTATGATGGGAAGCTCTTCACAGCTTCATAGGCTTTGAAGAACTGCCAGCTTCTTTATTTTTGCACTCTGGGACCATCCTTATGCAAAATTGAGGTATTTTTAGGACACAGTAAACCATGGATAACTGAAATCATGGATACCAAATCAGTGGACATGGGGGTTCTGCTGTACTGGTTTTGATGAGATAATTTGGGTTCATCTGATTGGCTTCAAACCTTCAACATGCTAACTTGCTAATGCAACCTTTGAGCAGCTTCAGATGTTTTGCTGTTGTATTATAGAATATTGGTGTGTGTGAAAACTACACAATGCCTCTTCAGTTTGGCTTTAAACTTTTGATACTGGTCTTTCTTGGTGAAAAGTAAGACCTTGTGTTGGGTTTTGTATAACCTAATTTCTAAATTTTTAATAGAATAAACCCTTGTGGGTTTAGCATTTAGTTTTGATTGTAATAATAATTAATATTAAAGAACTGGATTATTAATTTGCACATGATAACCTGTGAATGCCTCTTTCTACTCAAAAATCTTCCTCGCTAATAGTATTTAATTGCATTGCAAATTTATGCCACACAACACTTTGCTATTCGCATGCACTAGAGTTTACCTGGAGAGAGTTCCGGGGGTCAACGCCCCTGCGGTCCGGTCTGTGACCAGGCCTCATGGTGGAACAGGGCCTGATCAACCAGGCTGTTACTGCTGGCTGCGCGCAATCCAACGTACGAATCACAGCCCAGCTGGTCAGGTACCGACTTTAGGTGCCTGTCCAGTGCCTGCTTGAAGACAGCACTGGTAATGTCTTTCTCAGATCATGTGGCTCCCTAAATCGAATCATTTTTTTTTTCAGATACGATGCATATAATACCCTGGAGGAGACCAAGTCTGCTGTTGCTGCTGTCCACCATGCTTGGGATACCTTACAGAACCACCATCCACACTCAAACGCTCACCATATAGACACCCATTCAACCCACAACTACAAACCTGCAAGCTCAACCAAAGTGTTTGGTCACCGCCACAGTTTTGCAGGATCTGATGTGGGGACAGCAGATGTTTCTGCTGCAATAAAATTTGCTAATTATGGTCCTGGAAAGATTTCAGATGGTCATATTCAGCATTCGATGGTTTTTGGTGCTCATCACGCTTTTCCCACTGTTGGAGGACAGGGATTTATTTCAGGAATGCCATTGCAACCAGAGAAGAACCAGAACTCAATTGGGATGAATGTAAGGGTTCATCCTGCAGCAGCCAGGCCAGAAGGAAGAATAAGAAGTACAGGAGCCATTTACCCAACTGGTATATCAGATATAGCTTCAAAACTCCCATACCAGAAACTCCCTACTTTAAAGCAGCCACCAAGAGACTTGCAGACTCGCCTTCAGATGGTCAAGTAAGAATAATACTTGAAATATTGACAGTGTATTCACTGCCACATATGCCTTTTGGCACATACACATTTATCGTGAATGTGACAAATGTGTTACATCATTGATATACATACTAGTACCCCACACCAGTGTGAAGATTCCATGATGCTGGTGTGGGGCTCTTGATCCAAGAATTGGACTCTCTCCTTTCATCACAATCATCAAACCTGCAGTGGCAGTGCCAAAGTGGAGCTGGAGGGGATGCTTCAACACTCCTCCTCCCTCAAAAAAAAAAATAAATAAATAAAAAAAAGCTTAGCCAAAGCCCCCAAATAAAAAAAAAAAAGTAATGCTGCTTCAAAAAGTCTCCTAGCCCTGCCTTCCAACAAAACATCCACTCCTAAGTTCCCCTGGTATAGATATTCTGGCACTGCCCCTGCAGATTTGATTGCCTTCCATGCTCTCTCCTGCAGGTTGAGTGCTCGCCTAATAACCTAATGGCATACAGTAAATACAGCAGACTTTTTCAATCTAATAGAGATGACTTGTACTGCAGACAGTGGAAGATGTTAAGGGGTAACTGTAAGGTGTTCCACCCCTTAGCTTTGATAAGTGCTCAGTCTTTTAGCCCTGATCTTGCTCTTAATATCTGTATTCATCTCGTATGTTAATCACTCCATTGTATCTGCCTAAGGTCAATAATCAAAATTGTACGTCTTCTCTACAAGACTTATTAACCCTTAAACTGTCCAAACGTAGATCTACGTTTTTTCAACATTTGAAAGTATGTAAAAAAAAATTTTTTTACTACTGAAAATGTATAAAAAAAAAACTTAGATCTACATTTTTTTGTTATATTTGAAAATGTAAAAAAAACGTAGATCTACTTTTGGAGCACTACGCATGTGAACGTACATCTGTATGGACAGTTGAAGGGTCAAAGCCTTATAGCATAGCCTAATAGAATACTGAAGTCTCTTGTATTCATTGTAACTCATCTAATGACCATGTGTACTGTTATTGCCTTATTAATCTTAAGTTAATTTTAAGTTTGCCCAGAATACTCTGCAAATGAAGGGGCTTTAGGCATATACACCCAACTATTATACTACTTTGTACATACATTTATCATGTCAAAATAAAATATTATCTATTCCTCTTCAAGGGGGGCTCCTTGGCATGGTGAAGAGGCTCTTGGTCTGAGGAATTAGACCTGTCGGTCTCCTTCCTCAGACCAAACCTAATTACCCCCCAGTCCCCCCTTCCCTATCCCATCCTCCCCTTTTTCCTTTCCTCCTCCTCCTCCCCACCCCTCCCTTTTGCCCTTCCTTTTTGGGATTTTTTCCCACAGGCACTCTAGTTCCTAGGTAGGGGAAAGGGTACCGGGGTCCATCCCATTCTGTTGAGGTTCTTGGCGGTGGTGTAGTTTGCCGTGGAATCTGGATCACCTGGGGATGTCCTGATCCCTCTCCGGTATCCCGGAGGGTGGCTTTGGGTGTTTTTCGGGCGACGGGTGTATCTCTGGAAGCCACCTTTCGGATTCCGGGGGTGGTGGCCGAAGGAGGTATGCTTTGTGGCGGATGTGAGGTTGCTATCCCGGATTGCTGGTTTACTGGCATGATGAGTAGGGTATGGTATGGGTTCCATGCTGCGTCTACGCTACTTATGGTGCTGAGGTCCTCTTGAGCGTGGAGGGAGATTTCTGGCCCTTTCATTCCTCCTAGGAACTATCCCTCCCCGGTCCCCCCCCCCCTTTTTTTTTCTTTTTTTCTTTTTGTTTTTAAGAAAAACAAAAAGTAACCTAACTATGGAGTACCCGATCCATGGCCCCGCTACCCCTGGGCCCCTTATTGTTACCGCACCCCGTTCTGACCTCGCCTCGTCTTTTGGCCACTCTTCGGACATTACTAAGGCCCCGGTACCTCTTGCTGGTGCTGTTTCGTCACCCGCTTCAGGTGCTGGGGTTTCGACTGACTCCTTCGATTTGTCTGACCTCCGCTCTCCTTCGACTATGCTTCCGGCTTCTCCCTCTACGGTGCGGTGATTTTCAAATCGCCAGCCCATCCCACGTCAGACCGACTCTGGTCCCACTTCTAAACGTCAATGACAATCTCCTGATGTTACTTCGTTACCTTCCCATTCTGCTCGGAAAAGACCGACATGTCATGCACTCCCTCTCCACACTCGGTTTCGGACCACACAATGGACTAAATTCTTTACATTAAGACCGACTTCTTCTACTGCCTATCTTTCTGACCATAGTACGTATTGGCAAAGCACTCCACGTTGGTAGAGATATTTCCTTTCATGCTTTTAAGAGTGGTACGTGCATCATCACAGTCCAGAATATTACCCAAGCTCATGATCTTTCTCTTCTTTCACATATCGATTATATTCCTATCACTATCGAAAAACATCATTCCCTCAATTCTTATAGTGGTACTGTTATAATGCCCCATACCATAGTCCAACAGAATTTCCAGACATGTGGCACTGACATTCTCAAACAGCTGGAACTCCAAGATCTCCCAATTCTCAAGGTAGACACTTATGTTCTTCCTGTCCGCGGGCGAAGACGATACCCTTGCAATGTGGCTCATTTAACTTTTGACAGCCGTGAACTCCCATCCTCTGTTTATGTAACAGGACATTGGTTACAAGTTCGGAAAGTGATCCCTACACCGCAACAGTGTAGGAATTGCTGGCGATTTGGCCACCCAGCAAAATATTGCAGATCTATAGCCGAATGCCCAGTCTGTGGTGCCGATGACCATTCTAATACGTCTTGCAGTCGAACTCCCTCTTGCCTTAATTGTCATGAGGCTCGCCCTTCGTACTCTCGCCATTGCCAGGTCTACTTAAATGAGCGGGAAATTCGTTTCCTCAAAGAGGCAGAAGGTCTCCCCTATGCTATGGCGGTTTCTCATCTCCGCCTCCAAGGGAGACTGCCCCGTGTTTCTTATTCAGTGCAAAGATACTGCTATCAGGATAATACATGACCACGTAAGTTATCCTGCAAAACAATGAAATCAAAGAAACACGTTTGCTAGGAAAACAAGATAGTAGACAGTGTTATGATCAGACTTCATTCATATGATAAAAGAAAGGACCTAATTAAATCAGCAATTATAATGAAAAATGGGGTGTACATCTAGTGCCTAACGAGAAAACGTTGAGAAAACTTAAACAGGAAAACAAAATACATTAGTGTTTCACTCGAGATGGGAAAATACTAGTTAGGAAAACGTCAACAGGTCGTCAATACACCATCTCAAATGAATATGATTTCTCTACCTTCCTTAGAAAAGCTGACATTTCAGTAACAGATTAGATAAGTGTCCTGTACACATGTATAGTGTGGTGCATATAGTGTACGTTACTATTACATTGTGCATTTTTTTTACCAGCTAATACCAGCACCTCAAATACTTTTTACTTCTTTTAATTGCTATTAAATGCTCAAATTTTGTTGCAAGTCAAATCTTACACCTAAATTAATTTTCTTTATTGTTGCTACCTATCCATTTAATTTTGTTTACCACTACTTATTTTAGTCCCATTTATATTGTGTGGTGCAATTAGTGTATATACCAATTACATTATTGTGCAGTTCCTAGAACTATCATTTACTAGCTAGTACCAACTATCTTTTATTTTTTTTTTCTTTGTATAGTGCTATTAATTGCTCAAACTTATTACATATTACAAGTTAGATCTTACTCCTAAATCAGTACTATATAGTGACTATCTGTCCATTTAACTTTGTTTACCATTACTTAGTTTAGTCCCTTGTATATTTTCACATTTATTTTAGTTTTAAATAACTACCTTAGTTCATATATTCACAATTGTTAAAATAATCAAGGTGCTAAAGTGGAATATGTTCATTATTTTAATATATTCCCTAGCTCCCTTATTTGATTACCACTCTATTTGTTCACCACTACTTATTTTAGTCCCTTTTATATTGTCTCCTTTATTTTAGCTTTAAAGAACTACCTTAGTTCATATTTACATTTGTTAAAATAATTCGGGTGCTATTATTTAGCTTTAGAATATTTACTTTCTCATACTTAAGTCTAATTATAGATCCACTATAAATCTTATGATTACGAGCATTGATCCTGATACCAACCACTTATTGAATGACTTAAATGAATCAAAAAGTAATTGTAATTACTACACAGCAGAACAAAGGCACTTCTCAGAGCCAACAACAACATAACTGTCTTTAACTACAATGTCAGATCTTTAAGCAAACATTACGATGACCTCACAGCATTACAGTGGACCCCCGCTTAACGATCACCTCCCAATGCGACCAATTATGTAAGTGTATTTATGTAAGTGCGTTTGTACGTGTATGTTTGGGGGTCTGAAATGGACTAATCTACTGCACAGTATTCCTTATGGGAACAAATTCGGTCAGTACTGCACCTGAACATACTTCTGGAATGAAAAAATATTGCTAACTGGGGGTCCACTGTACTAAATTCCCTGCATGCCAGTATGTCCATCATTACTCTCGCCGAAACCTGGCTAAAGCCAGATACTACAGACATCTTTGCCATTCCTGGTTACACAGCCATACACAACTGTAGGCCAGATCAACAAGGAGGTGGCACAGCTATGTACTACTCAGACCAGCTAGAATGTATCGCTAATACTTGCACAAGGTATGAACATGGGGAATATATAATAGCTAAATTAAAATCCAAATACTGTACCTACAAAAACCTCAGTGATCAACATCTACAGAGTACCACAGTCAAACATTAGCCATTTTAGTGAAGCCCTAGGAAGTATGATAACTGATGCACACAAGAATAAAGATCACTTACTACTCTCAGGTGACTTCAATGTAAATCTCCTGCAAGACCAGGATCCACACATTACTGAATTCACAAACACTATGAATAACTGCTTGTTGCTACCAACAGTAACAAAATCTACAAGAATTAGAGACTAGTGTTTCCCTATTAGACCACATCTGGACCAACACCATATCCCCTTTAAAATCAGGCATAATCACAGATAATACCACTGACCACAACCCTACCTTTCTCATAACCAATCTAGGTAAATTACCCCAAGACACTACTAAAGTAACCTTCAGACTTCATAATGAGTCAGTCATTAATAACTTCACAACAGCAGTGACAAACATCAACTGGCTAACTGAGCTAGAAACCTATACTGATGAATGTATTAATTTTCTAAAAGACCCAATACTGCCCTAAAAAAAAAAAAAAAAAAAAAAAAATCACAGCTAAGAGACTAAACAATCCCTGGCTAACACCTAGCATTCTCAAATCCACAAATATAAAGCACCTATATGAAAAACAGTATAGAATGGGTCACATAACCAGAGACCAAACAAAACATTACTCATCAATCCTAACCAGCCTCATAAGAAGGGCAAAAAAATTGTATTATGAGAACAGATTATCCAACTTAAAAGGTGATATAAAAAAAGACATGGAAAACCCTATCTGAAATTCTAAGAACAAAAGATATCAGGAAACAGAGCAACCAAACTAACAAAACCAGATGAACCCCAACTCCCACCAACTGAAACAGCAAACACTCAATGTTTTCTTCTCCACCCAAGCTCAAATACCCCACCAAATGACTACCTCACTGGTAACTACCTGAACACACTGTTCCTAGCTCTGCCTAACCCAACAGAAGTCTCCCTTATTATCAACACAATAAAAAACAAGAGAGGAGATTTGAATACCCTACCACCCTTTATATACAAAAAAGCTTCGCAAGTGCTGTCACCAATCATAGCAACACACTTGAACAAATCCATCGAATCCTCTACCTTCCCCACAGTTCTCAAAATAGCGAGGGTCTCCCCGATACATAGAGGAGATCAAACAGACTTGAATAACTATAGGCCAATATCCAACTTGCACCCTCTCTCTAAAATCTTTGAAAAATTAATTCATAAGTGAATCTATTCCTACCTCATCTCCCACAACATACTCAACCCCTGTCAGTTTGGGTTCAGGCTTAATAAAAATACAAATGATGCTATTATACACATGCTAGAACAAATATACACTGCACTTGAGAAAAAAGAAGTCCCATTGGGGATCTTCATTGATTTACGTAAAGCTTTTGGTACAGTTGACCATGATTTGCTGTACATAAAATTCTCACTATGGTATAAGAGGGCACTCCTTCAACTACCTGAAGTTGTACCTTAGCAACAGAAGCCAATATGTGTACACAAATGGAGCAAACTCTTCCACACAGCCAGTTACAATAGGTGTCCCACAGGGAAGTGTCCTTGGCCCTCTTCTCTTTCTCATTTACATAAACGACCTACCAAATGCATCGCAACTACTCAAACCCACACTATTTGCAGATGACACTACATACGTCTTCTCTCGCCCAAGCTCGGTCATGCTAGCCAATACTGTAAATACCAAATTACAGAAAATATCTACCTGGATGATTAACAAACTTACTCTCAATATTAACAAAAACTACTACATACAGTTTGGAAACAGAACCACAGATGTCCCTCTTAACATAATGATAAACGGATCACCTATCATAAAGCTCACAGAGGGAAAATTCTTAGGAATCCACCTTAATAATACTCGAATTTTAAACACGTATACAACACATTCCCAAGAAAATCTCCAAGACTGTAGGCATACTATCGAAGATACGGTACTATGTTCCACAGTCAGTCAGTCCTGGCCCTATATCACTCGCTCATTTACCCCTATCTCATGTATGGAATTTGTGCATGGGGCTCGACAACAATAAACCATCTCGGACCATTAATTACCCAACAAAAGGCTGCAGTCAGAATGATGATAAATTCCCACTACAGGCAGCATACTCCACCAATATTCAAAACTCTAAAATTACTCATCGTACAAAACATCCATACTTATTATTGTACCTACTACATAGAACACTTAACTCGGATATAAACCCTCCCCTTAAACTTCTCTTTACCAACCTCAACAGAACACTCTTTGATGTTCCTCGTGTCCATCTCACACTATGTAAAAATGCAATGCACATAAAAGGCCCAAAAATCTGGAATTCATTACCCGTGAATATAAAAGAAACACTGTCTGTTTATCAATTCAAGACTCTTCTTAAAAACCACTTACTCATCTACAACTAAATAAATACTGATTAACTGGTTCTCATAAATGTATAACCTGTGACCCTATCAAACTGTTTTTTTGTAATTACATTACCTAATAGAATACTCCAGTCTCTTGAATGCTCAGTAACTCATCAGATATGCTACAGATTTGTAAAACTATAAAGCCTCTTACTTGAAATACTCATTTGTACTTCATGTTGTAATTTGTTTACTGTATTTTTACCACTGAATATATCATTGCTTAGTTAATCTTAAGTTAATTTTAAGCCTGCCCACAATGCTCTGCATACAAGGGGCTTTTGGCATGTACACTCAACCACTGTATTTCTTTTGTACAACTATGTATCATGTCCAAATAATAATAAATAAATGTATGCCATCCTTGTGTTCAAATAATAGTTAAGTGGTCAGTCACAGAATCACTTATTCTAGTGTCAGTCACACATCTGACTGTCTAAGCCACAGTAAAATGTTTATTAGGAGGGAGCTGCATTCATCTAGAATAATTGAGTGGCCAAAATATGGTGATGACAATAATACATGCACAGTTCGTTTAATATCTTTATTATGCATCTCATACCCATCCTGTGGGCGGTAGTCAAAAGAGTAGAGGTACATAATGAGTCCAGGGACTGGGCCCCAAAGTTTTGATAGCTGAAAAAGTTAAAGGCAATGAACCATCTACATGTCTATACATGGTTACAATCATGAACAAATTACACCGTAATGAGCCATTCACACGTCCACTCCCGGTCACAACTATGAGTTATTAGTGCAAATATTAATTGGGACGGGCATGCATGCACGCACAAAAACACACGTGGTAATACTTTATTTACAGTGAGCAAAGTCAGGATATTTTTCCAGAATGGTTTGTAATATACCACTGTAGATAAAATACTTTGCCATTTCTTAAACATTTCTGAATGATTAGGTTTGGAAAATAGGTAACAGTGGGTATTATAGACATTAACAATTAAAAAAATTATATTTGTTGCTGGTGAAGTCTGTTGATCCAGGAATTAGTTATCCTCTCTCCCTGCATCAGGCCTGATTACATCTTGTTTCCCAGGTGCTTTATGATCCCTATGAATATACAGTGTAACAAAACATCACTTGATCTGTTTCAGGAGAAGGCTGTCAGCTGGTCCAGCAGGTATCTCCAGTTCTATGGGTCATAATACTCTACCCACCACCAACCTCATTGCTCACAACCTACAGCACACAGGTGAGAACACTGCTAGTTTAATTAATGGTTTGTTAGCTCTAAAGGCTGTGAACTGCATTTAGCTCATTAACACTGCAGTTTACCTAGATACAACATCAAGAATACTTTTATCACTAAAATAGAGATTAGAATCTAGTCCTTATTTCAGTGGTTCTTAAAGTTGTGGTGATTCAGCCTAAGACTTACTGTACATTGTTCTTTTCATAGATTTATAGAACACCCGTAACAAAGGGCCTCTTCACAGATTATGAATCCCAGGCATTTCCTGATCACAAGAGTTTGGATCAACCCTGGTCTAACATTCCACATCTTATAGTGCATTCATCTACCTCTCCTGGACACCTGAATAGCCAAGCAAGTGCTGGAAATACACAGACTGGTTTTATCTTTGGCTGAAGCCATGCCACTGGCAAACCTTATGGACCATCCACTTAAAAAGAACTTTCTTATAAATTCGGTGAGAAATACTTGTAAAAATTTAACATGTCCAGAGATTTCTTTAGGTTAGTATGGAAAAAATGAACTATCTCTAGGGTATTTAATCCTGGACATTTACTAACCCAGTATAGCCCAACAAAACAAAGTATGGCTAATTTCTCTTAGTCTTTCTCTAGGATGCAACTCTAGATACCAATTAAATTCTTGTAACTAGTCAGCAATTTTTATAAACAGCTGGATGTATATACCATAATATGTAGCCATTGTATTTTCTACCCTCCCATACACTGGGTCACCTTAACAGGGTGGCAACCCATTTTTTCAAGATAATCCACTAAAGACATTTGGGTATCTACTGTGAAGATGTTTCTCCAGTCAGTAATTTTGTTAATCCAAAACATTAAATAATAAAGATAGTTTAAGATGTGACCAAGCAGACCAAGTACATACACTAAGAAGTTTGTCCTTTTGTTAGTCATGAAAAATTAATTTCATCAGCCAGAATCTGTGGAAAAAATCAGCAATAACACACCCCCTCCCCCTTCATCAGGCCATTAATTAGAGATTCACTGTACTATACTGTAATTTAAAGAAGTGTCAAAGCAAGCTGGTGCACCTTGGCCACACATTTTAATTAACTTTCATCATATTTCAGGTTTCAAGAATAAAGCTGGGAATGGAATGAGCACATTACATCAACAGGAAAGTAGTAATTGGATGTATCGGATGGGGCAGATGGTGTCTGGAGTGTCTAAGCAACTTCCAAGCATTGACAAAGCTGTCACTACGATGTCTTTCCTAGCTTTTGGCATTTTCATGGCTAACTTGGTGGTACAAGCCATAGCTAATGTGAGTTTTATTTGTACTTTTTATACATATATATATTTTAGGAAGTTATACAGCATATATAAATAGGGGTAAATTCAAGTTTGTAATTAAAAAATGCAGTTGGCATGTAACACTTCATTAGACAGAATTTTTAGTGTTAAGATGACAAAATCTGGAAAAATCCTAATTGAACCTAAATTATATACATGTACTGTACATTAGGGATGGAATGATACTAATTTTTTTTGACAATCTCTACGTACAGTACTTGGTTTTAGGTTGATGCGGATACCATTAAAATTGCCTGGTACTTGCCAGTACTAATACCAACGTTTAGTTTTAGGCCAATACCCACTGATATTTTGGCACACCTCAACTATACAGAATCAATAACAATTGGTGGTTGTCCAAATTGCTTCTTGGATAAATTCAATGTTTTGCATCATAAATGGTTTGAAGCCTTTTGTCTGGCTCATTATCAGACATGCCCGATATAGGAAACCCAAATTGGGATAGACTTTACTGATATGTAATTCTGAATTATAGGCATATATAACTCTGAATTATAGGTTGATGCAAGCCTTGCCCCACCTTGACCATATCAAGATGCTCATCAGTGTCACTGTCCCAGGTTCAATTAACAAGGCAAGACAGAGCATAGGGGCAAGCTACCTTTTATGCCTGCTACTCCTGCTTACCTAGCAGTAAAAATGTATCTGGTGTTAGTGGATTGTAGTGGTTTACATCTTGGGGTAACAGTTACTGTGCAAATGTGGGAGTAACTCCAGTTCTGTTTATATATTTAAAAAAAACAAAAAAGTTAAATCCTTGGCAAAAATGCCAGTGTTCAATGAAACTCCAAATGTACTGAAGTATTCACATGTTGAATATAAATTATTCACCTTGTCTAATTCAATATTATTATTTTTTAATACGCAGGCTCTCTCCCACCAAGGTAGGGTGGCCCAAGGAAAAAAAAAAAAAAGTTTCACCATCATTCACACTATCACTGTCAAAGATGCACAGATGCAACAGTTCATATGTCCCCTTCTACATAGATTACTAAAAACAAGATTTGTTTAATTAATATTTATTACATATTTTGGGCTACACGTTTAAAACTTTTTGTGCTTTCAGGGGCTTTAACAATTACTAAGGATCTGTATTTGTTTTAAAAGTTGCACTTGTTAGATTCAAATGTATACTTTTTTAAACAATGGTCATTTCGAATTATGAGCTTTCCGTCAAGATAAAGAACAACTGAGTTTCACATCATAAAAGCACACATTTGCAATTTTAAGCATCATTTCTAATTCAGTTCAAATGTCCTTAGTAAATTACTAATTTATTTGGTCATTTATTTGTTACAGTGTTTGATATACTAAAACTTTTTTGTTTGGGCTAATATAACAATAATATGGAATTTTTTTTTAAAAATTGCATAGTTGCTTCGATGTATTATTTTTAAATCAATGGGGAATATGAGCCTTAAACCTGGAGAGATAACAGCACCGGCGGAGTGATATCTTCATAGAAGGACATTTCAGGCTTTAAATCAATTTCTGAGACAGGATCCAAATTTATTAAATCAAGAGCTTCTCACCAAACATCAAAGTGAACTTACACTTGAGGAGTTTGTATTTCTTGAGAATATAGGGTAAATCATTTTATTGAAACTATGCACAACAGTTTGGTCAGGACCAGAGCCAATAGACTGTTGTACTGGGTTTTAAAACTTTATATTATCCTTTGAACTTTTGACCTCTTTTTCTTTTACCACCATTTTTTTTTTCTGTTTAGTTGCCTGTTGTTTTTTAAGTCGTCTCTTTCAGACAACCACCTTGAACTCGCTCCTGGGTCGAGAGGATGAGATTAATTTCAGTGGACTGCAGCTTGACTTTTCTTCCCTTGCATTTGAATTTATGGATAATCTTGGCCTTGAAAAAGATGTTGATGACAATCATAAAAACAACACACTGCTTAAGAAAGTGGCACAGGTCATCAGTCAGGTCTACATTAGTCTTCATGAGATAGCCAGGTCAGGAAAAAAAAATTCTGTACTTCATTTTTGCCATTATTGCGTATTGATGTAGTTATATTTTTACTTGAAAGTATAATACTTCATATACTCCTGTTGCACAAGTACTTATTTTGGTGAAAATTTATAATGTAGAATTTTACAATTGCATATCAGTAGCACCTTCTTTTGGGAAAGTATAAAAGGTGAATGATGACTTTTTTTTAACACAGCTGTATTCTACTGTATAATCAAAGGGAAACGCTAAACTCGTAAGGGTCATAACCTAAATTAAAATTCTTTAGAAAAGTACACAAATGAAGTATAAAGAAGTCCATCATTGGCAATGTTTTGCCCACACAGTGGCCTTTTTAGTCACACAGACCTTTTTGTGACTTGATAAAGCCCACTGTATGGGCAAAACAGTCAATAAAGGATTGCATTATACTGCATTTGTCTAGTTTTCCAGTGTCTATCTTTTATCTCCAAATTCTTTATCTCCATATGATATATAGTTTCTGCAAAAATGGATAACATTTGATGTTCCACAAGTAAAGTCCTTAATTATGCAGAACAAGCTTACACCTAACTTAAGAGTGAAAGGATAATTAACATTTTATGTATATGAATAAAGTGTAATGAATACTTATCAATGTTCAGTAATACTTATCAATGCTCAGTAATCTACATGTAGACACTAAGAAGACTGAATAATTGATCTGTATATTTTGACCCCTTTCTGGGATTCCCATGCTGAAGAGAATCCCAGAAGGGGGTCAAAATATACAAATCAATCTCCCGAGTTTTCCATGTGGGTTATGATTGAGAATTTTGTGTCTATGAAGATGTATATACACAATAAAATTAATTCGGTGACTAGCAAATGTTTATGTAAAGAGATAAAACAGCATGGTACATGTACATATGAAAAATTAGATGGGTTCAAGTTCAGTCAAATAAGTTCTCTGGTACAATTTTTTTGCACATTAGGTGACAATACAATAATTCAGATTCATGATGCAGTGACTGTTCCAAGTAACAAAGTTCAACACAGTACATATATTGTAGTAATGGTGCTCTTGTGGAGAAAACAGTAAAGGGTAATCAGAAATAGATAAGGTATGTGATTTGACTTCACTATTTAGGCACAGTGCCCTCTTTAGCATTCTTTTCAATTGCAAGAGACTGCTGCAGCCATTTAGCTCTGTTAAGTAACTCCATATCTTTGGTCCTGCAACATGCAAAGAATTTCTGTAATGTTCAGTCAAACAAAGGATATCAAATGGGTAATTGTTTCTGGTCAGTGCTTTATGACCCTTATAGGGTTGGCATTTAGTTATGATTATAATTTTTCTGGTGTGATGCCTGTGTAATGTTTTTCTAGGAATTGCCTGAGTTCAATGTCAGCATTACAGTGTAATGTTTTGAACATGTGGCTTGAACAGTAGAATGTTTGAATTGCATTTATATTTAGTGGTCTTAGGGATTTGAAGAAAGGCATGGTGTACATATTTCCTATTGGTAGAAGTGAATAATGTTGAATGTGTTTGGGTCACCCTACTTAGTGAGAGATGGCCATGATAAAAATTTAATAAATGATTATGAAGTGGAAACCTGTAATTGTTTTACATGTCTTTTATTTTTTTTGTCAAACACACGGGATATAGGTTTAGTGCTTTATTATAATATGGGATAACAGGTATATCTTGCTACTTAGGTCACACTACATATGAATGTACAAGCATATATATTTACACACCCATCTGGGTTTTCTTCATTCTTGTTCTTTATTTCCGTTTATCTCCCCGGGTCAGTGGAAAAGAATTCTTTCTCCGTAAACCATGCTTGTCATAAAAAGCGACTAAAATGCCAGGAGCAAGGGGCTAGTAATCCCTTCTGTATAAATTACTAAATTTATAAAGAAAAGCCTTTTTAGGTTGCCCTGCCTGGGTGGGATATGGCCAGATAATTGGAGAGAAAAAATGTATAAAAATTTTCAAATATAGCTCTAAAGAAGCCAGAACTGGTACATTGGAGTAATAAACAAAAAAAAAAGTTGATATATTGAAGAATGTTATGAAAAGATGTGCATGTATGTAAAAAATAATAGCCTGTCTAAATTTATTTACAGAGTTGGTATGGCACACCTGATATCAGTTCTAGGGCTTCATATACCATCATTAAATACTCAACCCAGGGCTGCTAATCTTGAGCCAGGATGCATGCAGCGACTTTTGTGCGAGGGACATAATATAACCACACCCAGCTTTAAAAAAACAGCCTCTTATAGACTTCTGCCCTTTTGGACGTAAGTACTGCATCTACATGCCTAGTATTTTTTTTCACAAGTTGCACTCAATTTGAGATTTGAATAGTCTTTAAAAGGGAAATGATATTTTTTTTTTGGGAAAAAAAATTTTTAAATTTGAAATTTTTTTTTAAAAAGCGAAATTTTTTAAGTTTTTTGGGGTTTTAGGTTCCAAATTAAGATTTTTATGCTTTTAATTCCCAATTTGGGGGGTTAAATTTTTTTCCTTTTTTGAGATTTTTTATAAATTTATTCATTTTGCCAAAACAGAAATTTTAAAATTTTTTTGGGCCCGTAAATAAAAAATTTAAAATGGGAAAATTCTTTTTGTAAGTTGGAAATTTTTTTATTTTTATAATAAAAAAAAGGAAAAAGGACAGGGAAAATTAAAGGTTGAGGGAAAAAGAAAAACGGGTGGGCTTCGGGGGTTTAAAAAAGGGGTTGGGGCCATAGTTTAAAGGTAATTTGGCGGGGCAGGGGAAATGGAAAAAGGGGTAAAAAGGGGGCAGGAAGGGCCCCAAAAAAAACCAAAAGGGGAGGGGGAAAATGGGAAAAAAAAAACCCTCAGATTTTTGGGAAAAAATTTTGGTTTTTTTGTCAAAATTTTAATGGGGTTTAGGTTTTGGGGTCCTTTAAAGAAGGAATTTTTCAAAAGAGATTTTTTTTTGGGAAAGAAAAAGCAAAATTGGGGGTAAATTTCCTGCTTTTTGCCGTTGTTAAGAGGGGAAAAGGCCCTAACAAAATGGGGGGCTAATCCCCACTGGAATTTTTTGAAAAAACTGTTTCAAAAGGAAAACCAGGGGGTTAAAATAAAATTTAATGAAAGTAAACTTTTTTTTAAACCCAAAGGGCCCCAAGAAATGGTTAAAACCTCGGGCAAAAGGAAAGGAGGGGCCCCATCCAGGTGGGAAAAGGGGAAGGGTTTTGAACCAACAGGTTGGAAACTTTGGGGGCCAGGGTGCGGGATGGGGGAGCAAGGAGAATAACCAGAAAAGGGCAGGGGATAGGAAAAAAGGTATCATAATTTTTGTGGAGCAGTGGTTGCCTGTAAATTGGATGAGTCAATAAAAGGGCCAACAAAAAAAAAAAGTTTGGAGGTAGGGGTAGAAAAGTTGGATTTCGGCGGGGGAAAATAGGGGGAGTTAAACAAAATTTTTCGTTTGGGCCTTTGGAAGGCTACAAAGGGGTTTTTATGGGGCCCCTAAAACCTTGGGGCCAAAAGGCAAAGGGGGGAAGAAATTTCCCCCCCAAATGGCATACAGGCAGGCCAGTAAAATGACTTTAAAGTAAATTTTTGGGTTTTTAAAATTGCCCTTTCCGGGTCAAAAGGGGGTAAAAACATTCCCAAAAAATTTTCCGACGGCCCTAAAGGGAATTGGGGGCCTTTCTGTGACCCCAGCGGTTTTGGTTTTTGGGAATGAAGGGGAAGGGGCCCCCAAAAAAAAATTTAGGGGAAGGCCCCGTGGGGCCGGTTGGTTTTGGAGAAAGGGGTGAAAAAGAAACCAAAATTTGGGGAACCTTAAGGGGTAGGGAAAGTGGAAGGTTTACTAAAAAATTTTTAAAGGGGGATCGTTTGAAACCAAAAAGGGGAAATTTAGCAAGAAAAAGGGCGGAAAAAAGAAACCCGGGCGGCGCCGGAAAAAAATGTCTTTTTCCATCGGGGACCATTCTTTAAAAGGGGAAAAATGGAGTTGGTGGATCTAAAAAGAAGGGGAAGGGAAATGGGAATTTGGTTTTCGACAAGGATGGAAAAATTTGCCCGAAAGCGGTTTCCAGGGGGGGGGAAAAGGGGAAACAAACAAAAAAGGTTGGTTTAAAAGGGAATAAGATTTAAAGGGCAAGAAAAAAGGGAGGAAAAAGGGGCCGGGGAAAGAATAAAATTTTTTTGGTATTTTTTAAAGGGGAGTTTGGGAATTAAAAAACGCGGGCAAAGGGGTAGGCGAAGAAAAGGTTAAACGTTCAAGGGTTTTCCCGGGGGAAAGAAAAAAAAACCCCCCCCCCCCCCCCAACAAAAAAAAAAAAAAAAAAAAAAAAAAAAAAAAAAAAAAAACCCAAAAAAAAACAAAAAAAAAGGGTTTTAAAAAGGTTTAGCCGGCTGTGACAAGGCCTTCAGGGGTAATGTGGGGTTTTTCCCGGGTTTAAAACCGAGGGTTTCCAAAGAAAAGGGGTTTAAAAAACCTGACTGTATCAGTTGGGGGATGGGGGGCCCTTTGGAGATACAAAGGATGATGGGAGTAAAAAAGAGCTTTCTGGGGAAGTTTTTTGGTGAGTTTTGGTCCCTTGAAAATTTAAAACCCATGTGTGGTGGCCCAAGGGGAAAACACGGTCGACCGCTTTTGCGGGAGGGGAAACTGCAAAAAGGGTTTGACAGTCAGGCCTGAAAAAAGCAAAAAGGGGAATAATAAACCCTTTAGAGTGTGACCAAATTAGGGGGGGAAGAACAGAGGCCAAATCATTTATGCAAGGAAAAAAAATTTGTTGTGATTGGAACACACCCCTGGGGACACCTTCAGCTTGGACAAAAAGCCCGGGGGAAAAAAACATTATTGACTCAAAACCCGGGAAATGTCGTCATTTAAAAAATTTCTTAAGGAAGGAGGGTTTAGTTTTTTTTTCCTCGGAGGCTGGGGGAATGGGCCGGGGCCCAAAAATTTATTATACTAAAATTTTGTGTCTTATCCCTTTCTCAAGGTCAAAAAATATGGCAAAAACTGGGGTAAATTATTGGGAAAAGGCATTACAAAATCGAAATTTTTCCCAAAGCTTTAAAGGGGGTCTATGGTAGAACGCCCCTTACGAAAGCCATATTGACTAGCGGGGGAGAAAACTGTTGTGATTTCTCTAAATACCAAAAAAAACGCCCGTTTTTACGAGGCTTTCCCAAATCATTTTTTTTTGAAAACTGCCTTTTTAAAGAGCTTTGGGGGGGCGTTTGGGTGGGGGAATCATGCCCTTGTACCCGGTTTGGGGAAAAGGGGGAGAAAAAATTGGAAAGTTTTCCCAAACAGCGGGGGAAGAAATCCTTGTGCCAAATTTAAGATTGAAGAGGTGTAAGGGGACAAAAAAGGGTTTGGCCGATGTTAATTTTGGAACATACGAATATTTTTTGTCATCGGGCCGCTCCCTTTGTGGGGCAAGTGAGGAGGTTGCCCCCCATTTTTTGGGAAGTGAAAAAGGGAAATTATACTTTTTATCAAAAAGGAAAAAGTCCCAAGGGGTTTACAAATTTCTCTGGCAGACTTTGAGGAAAAAAACGAGGGGCATGGGGAGCCCTGGGGAAAAAATACGGCCCAAGATGGGGCCCAAAGTTAAATCCCAACGTCGAGGGGGTTTTGCTATATCAACCCCGTGCCCCGTTTAAGAAACAGGAGCCGGGTCAGGAGGTTTTTACCACTAAATTTTCCTCATTTTTTTCCGACTGCCCCTCATAGAAGAAGCAGAGGTGAGGGTGGAAACATAGTCTCGCCAAAAATGTGCGTTTGCTTCACGGTTTGACACGGCGAGCTTCGCACGCTTATGTTTAAAAATAAAACGTTCTCAGGGGTTTTAAAATTGTACGGTACCTCCCCCATGCTGCACGTTTAAAACGGTTACTCCACGAGCACAAGCAGGAGACCCCCAAGGAAAGCACTTCTGAGAATGCCTGCCTGAGGTTTGGGGTTTTAAAATGAAAAGGGCCGGTATAAACTGATGTCGAGAAGATTTTGTAGGAGCTCTTTCAATGGAGGATGAAAAAGGAAAAAACCTCAAAAAAAGATGAGGTGTGGGGGAAAAGACCCCAATTTCCCCCAAATCAAATTGCCAGCGAGGGCTAGGGGAAAGGTGGGGGAATTAGGAAGGAAAAAGTAAGAATGATCGGAAATGATCGCGTCATGAAAGTCTGGAAAGGAAAGCCAAGGTGAAGTCTAGTGAAAGTGGGGAAAAAGGAGCAAAAATGTTTGATCGTTTTCCCAAGGGAGAGGTATGAGTACGAGGTCAAAATTGGGGGGGAAAGGTTTCCCGTATTTAAACATGGGGGGGTGAGGGGCCCAAGAAAAGCCCCCAATGAAGCCCGTGAGTACAATGGGGCCCCCCCCCAAAAGGAAATGGGGGGGAAATTAAATTTTTCCCCAAGAAACGAAGTGGTGGTGGTAAGGATGAAACAAGAAAGGAAAAACGGGGAATAAAAAAAATGCTCAAAGAAGGAGGGGGAAAAAATTATAAAGAACATATTGTAAACCCCTTATTCAAGTGGATAGGGGGCTGAGTTTTAATGCGCGAGGTATGGACAAAAAATTTGGGACAGTAGGGAAATTTATCATTGGTAGAAAAAGGGGCCCATTTTTCTTTTAAAAGGGTCCCATAGAGAAAGACCCGGGAAAAATTTACAATAAATTATAGCTGAGATGGGTTTGGGAAAAACACCGGGGATGTAATTTTGGTTCTTGTAAGCAAGCCCAAAAAGGGGGGGGAAAAAAACCGGAAAAGCAACATTTAAAGCTCACCCCGATTACCCTGAGGCCGCGGTTTCCCACTGAAAATGGGGCCTATTGGGCGATAAAGGGAAAAATATCGGGGGAATTTTTGTGGGTAAAGGCACTACGGATGAGGGGTTAAAAAAGTCAAGGGTTGGGGGCCTTTTTGGAAAAATTTCAATTTTAGCGAAAAAGGGGGTTTGGCGTTGGAAAAAAAATGCGGGTTGTGAAGATGGGAGGGGGGGGAAAAAAAGGAGAAGGAACAGGTTTGGAATAAGTGTCCATTGAAGGTTTAGTCTCTGCAATATATTTAAAAAATGGCTTAAAAGTGTTTCTGAATTCAAAGTGTAGGGGAAAAAACCATATTGGAGATAGGAGGAGGGGGTGGTAAAATTGGGACAGTAAGGGGACTGTACCAAATTTGGGGGGAGGGAAAATTTTGAAAGGGGGACTGGGATAAAGGGGGGGGGGGACGAGGGGTTTAAAAAACCTGGGGGGGGGGGGGACAGAAGGGGAGAAACTTGGGAGGGGCGGGGGGGGGAAGGG